ACTATCCCTCCTGGCTGCTACTTAAAGGTCTACTATCCCCTCCTGGCTGCTACCTAAAGGTCTACCATCCCCTCCTGGCTGCTACTTAAAGGTCTACTATCCCCTCCTGGCTGCTACCTAAACGTCTACCATCCCCTACTGGCTGCTACCTAAAGACCTACCATCCCCTCCTGGCTGCTACCTAAAGACCTACCATCCCCTCCTGGCTGCTACCTAAAGACCTACCATCCCCTCCTGGCTGCTACCTAAAGACCTACCATCCCCTCCTGGCTGCTACCTAAACGTCTACCATCCCCTCCTGGCTGCTACCTAAACGTCTACCATCCCCTACTGGCTGCTACCTAAAGACCTACCATCCCCTCCTGGCTGCTACCTAAACGTCTACCATCCCCTCCTGGCTGCTACCTAAACGTCTACAATCCCCTCCTGGCTGCTACCTAAACGTCTACCATCCCCTCCTGGCTGCTACCTAAAGACCTACCATCCCCTCCTGGCTGCTACCTAAACGTCTACCATCCCCTCCTGGCTGCTACCTAAAGACCTACCATCCCCTCCTGGCTGCTACCTAAAGACCTACCATCCCCTCCTGGCTGCTACCTAAAGACCTACCATCCCCTCCTGGCTGCTACCTAAAGACCTACCATCCCCTCCTGGCTGCTACCTAAACGTCTACCATCCCCTACTGGCTGCTACCTAAAGACCTACCATCCCCTCCTGGCTGCTACTTAAAGGTCTACTATCCCCTCCTGGCTGCTACCTAAACGTCTACCATCCCCTACTGGCTGCTACCTAAAGACCTACCATCCCCTCCTGGCTGCTACCTAAAGGTCTACCATCCCCTACTGGCTGCTACCTAAAGACCTACCATCCCCTCCTGGCTGCTACCTAAAGACCTACCATCCCCTCCTGGCTGCTACCTAAACGTCTACCATCCCCTACTGGCTGCTACCTAAAGACCTACCATCCCCTCCTGGCTGCTACTTAAAGGTCTACTATCCCCTCCTGGCTGCTACCTAAACGTCTACCATCCCCTACTGGCTGCTACCTAAAGACCTACCATCCCCTCCTGGCTGCTACCTAAAGACCTACCATCCCCTCCTGGCTGCTACCTAAAGACCTACCATCCCCTCCTGGCTGCTACCTAAACGTCTACCATCCCCTCCTGGCTGCTACCTAAACGTCTACCATCCCCTACTGGCTGCTACCTAAAGACCTACCATCCCCTCCTGGCTGCTACCTAAACGTCTACCATCCCCTCCTGGCTGCTACCTAAAGGTCTACCATCCCCTACTGGCTGCTACCTTAAGGTCTACCATCCCCTCCTGGCTGTTATCTTCATGTCTACCATCCTCTCCTGGCTGCTACCTTAAGACCTACCATCCTCCCTGGCTGCTACCTAAAGGTCTACTATCCCCTCCTGGCTGCTACCTAAAGGTCTACCATCCCCTCCTGGCTGTTACCTAAAGGTCTACTATCCCCTCCTGGCTGCTACCTTAACGTATACCATCCCCTCCTGGCTGTTACCTGAAGGTCTACTATCCCCTCCTGGCTGTTACCTAAAGGTCTACCACCCCCTCCTGGCTGCTACCTAAAGGTCTACCATCCCCTCCTGGCTGCTATCTAAAGGTCAACCATCCCCTCCTGGCTGTTACCTAAAGACCTACCATCCCCTCCTGGCTGCTACCTAAAGACCTACCATCCCCTGCTGGCTGCTACGTAAAGACCTACAATCCCCTGCTGGCTGCTACGAAAAGACCTACCATTCCCTCCTGGCTGCTACCTACAGGTCTAAAATGCACTCCTGGCTGCTACCTAAAGGTCTACTATCCTGTCCTGGCTGCTACCTAAAGGCTTACTTTCTCTTCCCGAGATTAAAGAATTTCAAGCTGGACTGCAGATCACCAACACAGATCCCAGAAATCCCGTTCAATCGTCAAGGAAGTTATAATCAAAGCTCCCGTATCGGCTACACCAACCAGGTGTCACCTGCAGTCCTGTGTGCTCCCACTTTCTCTGGCAAGGCACATCTGTACTTGCTACAACAGTTCTACATGGAAGAAGTCTTGTGTGCTCACCTGCAGTCCTGTGTGGCCAACAGAAATCCTAACAACAACCGTTTCTGCAAGCCAGTTGTTGACTCGCCACGATCGATTTCTCGCCTTTTGTGTTCATGCCCTGCCTTCTGTTGTTTCATCCGTCATATTTCATGTTTGCCATTTGTCTCTACAAGAGTCAGACTGCAATCTCACTTGTTTTGTCCTTTCCCGCGGCTTGTGGTTGGAAACTGTTTCTGGCGCTATTGGTTGTCCATGTATGCTAGTGTAAATGGCGATGACGGTATTACGTTGACCGCATACAGGCAGACAAATCTAAAATAGAGACATTGTTTCGCAACCTAGCCGACAGCTAACCAAAGACAGAAACAAAATCTAAAATAGAGACATTGTTTCGCAACCTAGCCGACAGCTAACCAAAGACAGAAACAAAATCTAAAATAGAGACATTGTTTCGCAACCTACTCGACAGCTAACCAAAGACAGAAACAAAATCTAAAATAGAGACATTGTTTCGCAACCTACACAACAGCTAACCAAAGACAGAAACAAAATCTAAAATAGAGACATTGTTTCGCAACCTACACAACAGCTAACCAAAGACAGAAACAAAATCTAAAATAGAGACATTGTTTCGCAACCTACACAACAGCTAACCAAAGACAGAAACAAAATCTAAAATAGAGACATTGTTTCGCAACTTAGCCGACATCTAACCATGATCGGCTGGAGCTAAGCAAAGACAAACAAAATCAAGCATAGACACAAGTTAGTTAGTTGGGTTATCATCATTGCACTCCGGACATGTCTATAGGTGCTCAGATTCTCCCCTCAGTATGAACCCCAAAGTCCGATGGCTAATAGTACAAATTCTATGTTGAAGTCTTCTGACGTGTCAGGTGTGAGTCTCGTTTTTTTGCTATGCCGATCTTAATTCCCAAGTCTGCCATTCTGGCGAGTGATGTGGATTCACTGCCACCAAAGTCCTCTATCCTTCCCATTTCTCTGAGGGCATTGATAATATCAGCATGATCCATAGGCTGACCATCGGTAGTTTGTTTCATAAAAACGATGTAACACAATGTTCATGTTCAGTGAATGCTTTACCTAATGTAAGTCACTGAAACAAAAATAGCCTGTTTATCCTATCTGGGCTATAACTGGTTGTCATGTATATTTATGTTTTGTCTACCAATTATTTTTGGTTAGGAAATATCGCATAGCTTATGTATTATTTGTATAATTGTATATTAATTTTATACGTTTTTATAAGTGTAGGTTATCGCAAGCAATATATTTTTAATGAACTTCTGTTATGTTAACCCTTTATTTTCCAGTTGCTGCTATAACACCTTCTCTCCCAAATGTGTATTTTCCAGCTCTATGCGACGGAAAAAATCCTGCACTAAAATATAAAAACATTCGCAAAGAATGTTTCATTAATCACTACCTGGGACTCAAAGAGTTCATATATATTAACATAATTAATGCGATATCTACTGCACCTTTTAGGTTAGAAAATCTAATATGCCTGACTGGAGCGTTGTTTCTGATATGCCTGACTGGAGCGTTGTTTCTGATATGCCTGACTGGAGCGTTGTTTCTGATATGCCTGACTGGAGCGTTGTTTCTGATATGCCTGACTGGAGCGTTGTTTCTGATATGCCTGACTGGAGCGTTGTTTCTGATATGCCTGACTGGAGCGTTGTTTCTGATATGCCTGACTGGAGCGTTTTTTCTGATATGCCTGACTGGAGCGTTGTTTCTGATATGCCTGACTGGAGCGTTGTTTCTGATATGCCTGACTGGAGCGTTGTTTCTGATATGCCTGACTGGAGCGTTGTTTCTGATATGCCTGACTGGAGCGTTGTTTCTGATATGCCTGACTGGAGCGTTGTTTCTGATATGCCTGACTGGAGCGTTGTTTCTGATATGCCTGACTGGAGCGTTGTTTCAGATATGCCTGACTGGAGCGTTGTTTCTGATATGCCTGACTGGAGCGTTGTTTCTGATATGCCTGACTGGAGCGTTTTTTCTGATATGCCTGACTGGAGCGTTGTTTCTGATATGCCTGACTGGAGCGTTGTTTCTGATATGCCTGACTGGAGCGTTGTTTCTGAGAAGCGCGGTAAAACAACTGTTAGGTTTTTATTGGGAGGGGGGGGGGGGGAGTGTGGTTTGGAAAGACCTGTCACACAGATAGAAACTCGGGGTGGGGGGGGGGGGAAGTGTGGTTCGGAAAGACCTGTCACACAGATAGAAACTCGGGGGTGGGGGGTAGGTAGAAATACTCTGAGAAGGCAAACATTGTTGGAGTAGCCTCAGTTAGCATACCACACTAGACAATGAAACTGGCGCCTTTCCTTGGTGTTAACTTGTCATGACAATCACAGGACAAATGAAACAACGGCTGTTGTACAACATTGTTATCGCAATCATAGCCCGCATGGGTTGAACAGGACGATAGTAGTGTAAATACTTCTACCATTAGCAACTACTCCAACATCCTCAGTCGCCGCATCATCCAACCACATTTGCAGTCTTGTAGAGCTACATGTCTACATGCTGAGACATAGACAGTCGCCGCATCATCCAACCACATTTGCAGTCTTGTAGATCTACATGTCTACATGCTGAGACATAGACAGTCAACCAATGCGAGTTGCTGGGATCAGACTTGAAACAAACCCACGGTCTCATACGCTCACACGCTGAGAATGGTCCCGAACCAGCGACCCTGAGGGTTGTAACTCTAACCACATTGTCCCATTTGTTACATGAAGCCAGTTGGTTATTTATGTCCCTGTTGTTTGGACAGTGAGAGCTTTGACACTTTCCCAGGCAGTTACACTGACACAGTAGCCATCACCAGGGTCGCTAGACATATCTATGTATGTAGAGGCTGCAATGTTCAAATTCACCGGCGCAAAAAGGGCTTTTTTTATACTAAGAACAAGTGGGGGCGGGGGGGGGGGTAAATGGGAGGGGTAAAGGGGAGGGGGAGCTGGCAAAGTAAAAGACATGAAACAGAGGGTCACTAAAAAAATCACGAAAGAACGAACAAACAAAATTTTTTTTCAAAGGGTTACAAATTGGGCACCCAGGCCCGTCTTACATTCGGCCCTTCCAAACACACGTCTTTCACACTGCAGCTTATTTTATCAATAAGCATGTTATAGTCATATTATAATATACATATTATGAATATCAAAAACGAGATAGAGAAAAACCGCACACAAACATGGGTGGTAAAATGCATGCACATACACACACACACCCACTCACTCTCTTAAAACACACATATACCGTCACCCACATACATACCTACATACCCACACAGACACGCACATTCTACACCCATACAAACATAAAGGTATTCACACACAGATACACTCATAGAAACAAATGCAGACACACACACACAAACAGACATACGTGCACATACCCAATCACACACGCTGATACACACACACAGACACACACATGCGACACACACACACACACACACAAACCGGCATACACACACGCAGACACCCACGGACACATATGCACAAATACACGCAGACACAAACACACACAGATACACTCGCAGACACAAACACACACATGAAGACACATCCATAGATACTGCACTGTCGAACGAAAGAAGAATAAGACACTACACACAGACAAACCCACACAGACATATACACACAGACACACACAGAGACATACACAGATAAATAAAAGCAGAGACGCGCATTTCACAGGCATTCACGCAGACACACATACACACACAGGCACATACAAAGACACACACACAAACACAACAAAAACACACACATACATACACACACGCAGGCAAACACACACGCAGGCAAACACACAGCTACATACACGTAGAACACATATACAAGCACAGACACATGTAGACACAGATACACATACAGACACATACATACAGTCCTACACGCGCAAACACACATATACACACGCGCAAACACACACAGACACACAATACAAATATCCTTCTTCACAGAGACGCACATCTACACAGGCATTCACGCCAACACACATGCACATACACATACCAACACACACCCACATACCAACACACATACACACAGGCACATACCAACACACACCCACACACACAAACACAACAAAGACACACATACAGTCACATACTCATAGAACATACAGACACACAAACACATTCACAGGCACATGCAGACACACACAAAGATACACATGTAGACACATACACACAGTAATACACACACACACACACCCACAAACAAACACATACACACAAACACACATACATAGATACACACCCACAGACACCCAATACTAACACACGCAGACACACACAGACACAGAGACGCACACGCAAACGCACAGGTAGTCATGCACACGTAGACACACTTGCATACATACACACAAACACAGATAATCGCTCACAGACATATACACACAGACACATACACACAGAAGACACGCATGCAGACACTCTCACACACATAGACACACACAAAAACTTAACAAAGCGCACGCATACACAAACAAACACATGCATACACACACAGACACGTAGACACAGACACGCCTACACAGAGACATAATCACACACAATTCCACAGACACACACACACACACACACACAGTCACAGGCACATGTAGACATACAGGCACACATACACACATTCAAGCAACAACTTTATAAATACCGATACACACACTCATACATACCTAAACACGCCTACATATACACACATACATACCACACATTTACATGCCGCACATACATACATATCGTACACACCTTGTCAAATTATAAATTGATAATGCAAAATGGATTATTAATTACATTTAAAAGTGGCATATAATCACTTGTAAGCATGAAATGAAAAAAAGTTTGCGGTTAAATGAATAGGAACTTTTTGTATTTTTCAGATCAAGTGGTAATTTGTTCCATAAATGAGCAGCAGAATATGCTAAACTTGTTTTAAATAAATCTATTCTAGGTTCAGGTAAATGTAATAAATTTAGCCTCTTGCTGTTCGTAGGATTAGATTTCTTCAACTGGAAAATGTAGTTTGGGGTATTTTGAGATACAATTTTGTGAATACAAAAGGAGGACTCAGAGACACGGAGGCCCTAAAGTGGACTTGATACTTTAGGCCGTAGAGTGGACTCGGAAACTTGGAGGCCATAGAGTGGACTAGGAGACTTGCAGACCATAGAGTGCACTAAGAGACTTGCAGGCCATAGAGTGCACTAAGAGACTTGCAGACCATAGAGTGCACTAAGAGACTTGCAGGCCATAGAGTGCACTAAGAGACTTGCAGGCCATAGAGTGCACTAAGAGACTTGCAGGCCATAGAGTGCACTAGGAGACTTGCAGACCATAGAGTGCACTAAGAGACTTGCAGGCCATAGAGTGCACTAAGAGACTTGCAGGCCATAGAGTGCACTAGGAGACTTGCAGGCCATAGAGTGCACTAAGAGACTTGCAGGCCATAGAGTGGACTGAGAGACTTGCAGGCCATAGAGTGCACTAAGAGACTTGCAGGCCATAGAGTGCACTAGGAGACTTGCAGGCCATAGAGTGGACTAAGAGACTTGCAGGCCATAGAGTGCACTAAGAGACTTGCAGGCCATAGAGTGCACTAGGAGACTTGCAGACCATAGAGTGCACTAAGAGACTTGCAGGCCATAGAGTGCACTAAGAGACTTGCAGGCCATAGAGTGCACTAAGAGACTTGCAGGCCATAGAGTGCACTAGGAGACGTGCAGGCCATAGAGTGGACTAAGAGACTTGCAGGCCATAGAGTGCACTAAGAGACTTGCAGACCATAGAGTGCACTAAGAGACTTGCAGGCCATAGAGTGCACTAGGAGACTTGCAGACCATAGAGTGGACTGAGAGACTTGCAGGCCATAGAGTGCACTAGGAGACTTGCAGGCCATAGAGTGCACGAGGAGACTTGGAGGTCCAATAATGGACTACAAGACTCGGAGGTCAAATAGTGGACTAGAAGACCTGAAGGCCATAGAGTGGACTATGAGACTCGGAGACCCTAGAGTGGACGACACCTTCGGCCCTAGAGGGGACGAGGAGACTTGAAGGCCCTAGAGTGAACTTGACAACTGGAGACTCTTCAATGGACTAGGAGACGTGGAGGTGGTAGAGTGAAATAAGGCACTTGGTGGACTTGACACCTTAGGCCCTAGAGTTGACTAGGGTACTTGAAGGTCCTAGAGTGAAACAAGAGACTTGAAGGTCCTAGAGTGAAACAGGAGACTTGAAGGTCCTAGATTTGACCAGGAGACTTGAAGGTCCTAGAGTGAAACAGGAGACTTGAAGGTCCTAGAGTGAAACAGGAGACTTGAAGGTCCTAGAGTGAAACAGGAGACTTGAAAGTCCTAGAGCTAACTTGGATACTTAAAGGTCCTAGAGTTGACCAGGATACTTAAAGGTCCTAGAGTTGACCAGGATACTTAAAGGTCCTAGAGTTGACCAGGATACTTAAAGGTCCTAGAGTTGACCAGGATACTTAAAGGTCCTAGAGTTGACCAGGATACTTAAAGGTCCTAGAGTTGACCAGGATACTTAAAGGTCCTAGAGCTGACTTGGATACTTAAAGGTCCTAGAGTTGACCAGGATACTTAAAGGTCCTAGAGTTGACCAGGATACTTAAAGGTCCTAGAGCTGACTTGGATACTTAAAGGTCCTAGAGTTGACCAGGATACTTAAAGGTCCTAGAGCTGACTTGGATACTTAAAGGTCCTAGAGTTGACCAGGATACTTAAAGGTCCTAGAGTTGACCAGGATACTTAAAGGTCCTAGAGCTGACTTGGATACTTAAAGGTCCTAGAGTTGACCAGGATACTTAAAGGTCCTAGAGTTGACCAGGATACTTAAAGGTCCTAGAGCTGACTTGGATACTTAAAGGTCCTAGAGTTGACCAGGATACTTAAAGGTCCTAGAGTTGACCAGGATACTTAAAGGTCCTAGAGCTGACTTGGATACTTAAAGGTCCTAGAGTTGACCAGGATACTTAAAGGTTCTAGAGTTGACCAGGATACTTAAAGGTCCTAGAGCTGACTTGGATACTTAAAGGTCCTAGAGTTGACCAGGATACTTAAAGGTCCTAGAGCTGACTTGGATACTTAAAGGTCCTAGAGCTGACTTGGATACTTAAAGGTCCTAGAGCTGACTTGGATACTTAAAGGTCCTAGAGCTGACTTGGATACTTAAAGGTCCTAGAGCTGACTTGGATACTTAAAGGTCCTAGAGCTGACTTGGATACTTAAAGGTCCTAGAGTTGACCAGGATACTTAAAGGTCCTAGAGCTGACTTGGATACTTAAAGGTCCTAGAGCTGACTTGGATACTTAAAGGTCCTAGAGCTGACTTGGATACTTAAAGGTCCTAGAGCTGACTTGGATACTTAAAGGTCCTAGAGCTGACTTGGATACTTAAAGGTCCTAGAGTTGACCAGGATACTTAAAGGTCCTAGAGTTGACCAGGATACTTAAAGGTCCTAGAGTTGACCAGGATACTTAAAGGTCCTAGAGTTGACCAGGATACTTAAAGGTCCTAGAGTTGACCAGGATACTTAAAGGTCCTAGAGTTGACCAGGATACTTAAAGGTCCTAGAGTTGACCAGGATACTCAAAGGTTCTAGAGTTGACCAGGATACTTAAAGGTCCTAGAGTTGACCAGGATACTTGAAAGTCATAGAATGGATTAGGAGACTTGCAGACTCGAAAGTGGGATATGAGACTTGGAGGCCTACCTGTTCTTCAGCCTGAACCTTCAGACCAGGCACCCATCCTCATGAAACCGATGATCATCATCATGAAGCACGTCCTTTGCAGAACGTCGCTCTCATCACAGTCTGCCTGAAAAAAACTCGGTCTCTCGCCAGTTCTCCTGCCTCGTGTACTTTCACACTCAAGGCGTCACTTATATCCTGTGCCCATCTTCATGTCGGTTGGCCCCTGGGACCATGCCTTCTGCTATAATTTTTTTCAATTTGTCGTAGCGCTTGATATGACCAAAATATTTCAGCTTCCGAGACAGGATGCTGTTTATTAGCCAATCTTCCGTGATGATTAGATCTTTAAAGATGCCAGTATTTCTCCTCTTTTTCGTACAGGATATTATGAGAATCTTTCTATAGCATTTCAGCTCAAAAGCCCCTATTCTCCTTCTTAAGGACTAGGAGATAGTCCACGACTCACATCTGTAGGTTGCTACAGGGAAGATGCATGCTCTCAATCTTTTTTTATTTTGATCTCCTTGCTGGCGCTTAACCAAAAACTTTTAAGGCTGTTTAATCGTTGTGTACTAGAACGAAAAGCCCTGAGTACCAAGAAAAATAAAGAAAAAGAGTTCGTTAGGCGGGGAAGAGAAGCAGATATATTCTAGCCCAGACATGAGATCTTCTGTGTCCAGTCTAGATAGCAGTACGATAAATAAACTAGGAACAGTAACTACAAGCCCTAATCTGAATCAAAACAACTGGAACTATGAATACCACATTGAACATATGTTTATTTCGCTGAATATAAGTTAAGTTCCCCCAAATAATAATGCATTAAAATCCACAACGTGTTTAAACATACCCTACAAAAAACAGTAACCTATCTTTGCTTACACACGTCAACCCGTGTTGCTCTACACCCCTGGACGCAACAGGAAAATCAGAACTACATGTTACTCGTCCAAACTAAAGAGGCCTAAGAGTGCGAATTGACACCTCCCCCCCCCCACCCCCCGTCTGTTTTATCACTTCCTGGCTTAAAGTTTGTAAATCAAACTCATTTTTAACAGTTGCACAGGGCCTATTACATTTGCATTGTTATGGCCATCCTCCTTTGCTATTTATTATAGAGCCTAGATGTTCGAAGTTTGTTACATTTTCCATTTCTGCATTATTTATTGTTTTTTTGTATGTGTGTGTGTGGATGGCAGCCAGTTTTATCTGTGGAAATTATTTTCGTTTTCTTTTAATTCAAGAACATATTTTGATCTTCACTGTGCTTTTGGACAAACAATATTAAATTTGTTAGTCCCTTTACGCTGTTCGAAAGGATGATACAAACGTGTATAAAACAAAAACTACCGGAAGTGGGCTTGTGTGTTTGTAGATTAAATTGTTTTTCATATCAAGTGACCGCTTTTTGATAGATTTAAAATATAACATGTTACTTAACAGACAATACAGTCAGGAAACACCTTGAAATTTAACCAGAATGAGAAACTCATAAATCACGTCACTACCATCGCCCATGCGCCCCCCCCCCCCACATTCTTCTTCCCATTTCCCACACAAGCTGGAGACTATACGGCGAGAAAGCTCCCTAAAACACGCAAATTTATCCGCACGCACACGGCGTGAAACTACGTTAAACGACTTTATGTACCTGCCACACGGTGAGAAACCCTCCTCAGATGTGATTTTGTACATCCCGTACTGTCAGAAACATTCCTTAAACTGGAAGGTGTACAAATTGTAGAGTGAGATAACAATAACACAAAGTTCTGGTGTGCAAACTGAACAGTGTGATAACTATATGACAGTACTGGTGTACTCACTATCGTGCCAGAAGCATAATGACATGGCACTAGTGTGCAGGGAGAAGATTCTTTTTATGTACTTGTGCTGTATTCGTGCGGTTTTGTTTGATTTATGCATGCGCTGATGAAGATTCTATAGCCAGAGCGTTCACGTTTCGTTTGTGTTTGGTATATTGTGAAGCTCGCTGACCTACTTTATTTTCGGTTTTATATCTTTCTAAGTACACTCGTACACCCACGACAGTTTCATTTGACATTCACTAACGGAATCAGGTATTTTGTATTCTTCGACTGTGATAATATCTGTGGGATCTAATATAATATTCTTAGCATGTTTCAGAGTAATAAGTAGATAGACGAGGAAAAGGAATATGGTTTAAACAATGAGTAGTTTCAGGCTGAACTGCAAAAAAAAAAAAAAAACACACAGTAAGGATGACTGGCTAACAAGCAAAGAGAGCCTTTTCTGTTGCACCAGCCTTTTATAAACTTTCCTCGCCCACTGACCACTTCGGAGAGTTCTGATTTCCAAGTCTGTCAGTTTTAGTTCGTAAGTGTAGCCAAACCAAAATTATTAACAGGCTAAACATATCCCATCCTATCTGCTGAGTTAACTATACTCTGTATGCTACCCGCGACAAGCATTATCTATTATCTTATGCTACCCGCGACAAGCATTAACTATACTCTGTATGCTACCCGCGACAAGCATTAACTATACTCTTTATGCTACCAGCGACAAGCATTATCTATTATCTGTATGCTACCCGCGACAAGCATTAACTATACTCTGTATGCTACCCGTGACAAGCATTAACTATACTCTGTATGCTACCCGTGACAAGCATTAACTATACGCTGTATGCTAAACGTGACAAGCATACTATTGAGTAGAACTGATCAGTGTTAACATACACTGTATTGCTACCAATGAAACTATACAGTTCAGTTGAACTGAGCGGCTGTGTTAACTATAGATGGTATTGTTACCAATGAAACTATACAGTTCAGTTGAACTGAGCGGCTGTGTTAACTATAGATGGTATTGCTACCAATGAAACTATACAGTTCAGTTGAACTGAGCGGCTGAGTTAACTATAGATGATATTGCTACCAATAAAACTATACAGTTCAGTTGAACTGAGCGGCTGAGTTAACTATAGATGGTATTGCTACCAATGAAACTATACAGTTCAGTTGAACTGAGCGGCTGAGTTAACTATAGATGGTATTGCTACCAATGAAACTATACAGTTCAGTTGAACTGAGCGGCTGAGTTAACTATAGATGGTATTGCTACCAATGAAACTATACAGTTCAGTTGAACTGAGCGGCTGAGTTAACTATAGATGATATTGCTACCAATGAAACTATACAGTTCAGTTGAACTGAGCGGCTGAGTTAACTATAGATGGTATTGCTACCAATGAAACTATACAGTTCAGTTGAACTGAGCGGCTGAGTTAACTATAGATGATATTGCTACCAATGAAACTATACAGTTCAGTTGAACTGAGCGGCTGTGTTAACTATAGATGGTATTGCTACCAATGAAACTATACAGTTCAGTTGAACTGAGCGGCTGAGTTATACACAAGAGGGTTTCCCACGTAAAGAGAAGATGCGACAGACACCTAGTTTCCATGTCACCGTATCTGCAGCATTAAGGGACTGACTTAAGGACCTTTTTTTCCCCCTGAGCAAACGTGACTGGAAGCCTGATGTGGCCAGTACTACACACACTGATGTACATCCGAGTAAACTTGTTCTACCTACTGTGCCAGTCTGGGCCCACCCTGGAACCAGGTGTCGTGTACATGTTCAGAGAGACCACACGGTGAGAAACCCTCCTAAAACGCACTCGTCTGCTAACCACACTCCAGCAGACGAGTAGCTGGCGCGCATGCGTGCGTGTTATTTTTAGTTGTGTGCCATCCACCATTCACATTTGTCCGTGTCTAGTTTCTGGACGTTCCTATGTAATCACCACCACACTGTGATATTTCACAAACATTTTGCTCGATTAGCTGCTGTAAAGATACCTAGGGATAATTTGAGTGGAACTTCCCCAGCTGAGCAGTGTTCGTGTGCCCGTGAGCTCCCTTTGTTTTGGAGGTCGAACGCTTGTACTCCAAGGTGGTTTGGGTAAGGTTCGATGTGTTCTTTAGGACTGTATGTAGAAACAATGATTGTCTTTGCGTTTGAGTGCACAGTTCAGACGGACGCCTACAAAACTTGTTGTCTACATTTAAAAATAGCCATCTGTCAATCAGTTAATCGCATTTCCAACTTCAAGACAAAAGGGTCACTCTATCGAAATGGCAAATCCTTTTTCGTAGTATATGTTTATATTTGTTCTTCTATCGTGCCTTGAAGAGATAACTCCACAATTTGTTTATTCCAAGATGTAGACTGAGGAACTATTGTACCGCCGTTGTGTCTCCAAAAATGTTTATCTTCTATTTAACTACACAAGTCAAGCTCTGGTTAATGGATATATATAGCCAGGCAGATTAAGTGTCATACATTATAACTGGTTATATTTCTTCATCATTACAGCACCAAACATTACGAGTGGCTTAATTGTTGAATAAATCAAGTACTAAACACTATGACCGACTTAGTTGTTTAATAAATCAAGTATCAAACACTATGATTAGCTGTATTGTTAGATTATATTAGTATCAAACACTATGATTGGCTGTATTGTTAGATTACATTAGTATCAAACATTATTACCGGCTTTTCCCACTAGTCATCCCCTTGGAGGGTGAAATTTATGTTATTTTGAAGCCCCACTCTGGCTCTTGTCAGGGGCCTCAATATAGCCCGGCCATAAATATGGTCTAATGGCCGAACGCGGTTTCTGGGACCTCTCCACGGGTGATCCTCATCAGCAATGGTGGCACTTTGTGTCATCGGGTGTTTATCGCTTGTATGATGTCCTAGTGGGGTAAAATTACTACTGCTAATTACCGGCTTTATTCTTGACCAGTTTAGAACCACAGATTATGATTGGCTGTATTGCTTGATGAGTTTAGCACCGAATATAACGACTTTCTGTACACCTTGATAAAGTTTAGTAGCAAACGTGATATATTAGGGCATTTTTTCCGGCGGTACCAATGCTACACAGTACCAGCCCCTTTATAACGGGTCCTTTTGTCCAGCAAGTCCAGTAATATATCATGTTTGTTCAGTGTGTCCTGCCACATGGTGATCTCTTCTGTTGTCTATCAGTGTGTCCTATCACGTGGTGATATCTTCTGTTGTGTAGTCAGTGTGTCCTATCACGTGATGATCTCTTCTGTTGTCTAGTCAGTGTGTCCTGTCACGTGGTGATCTCTTCTGGTGTCTAGTTAGTGTGTCATGTCACGTGGTAATCTCTTCTGTTGTCTAGTCAGTGTGTCCTATCACGTGGTGATCTCTTCTGTTGTCTAGTCAGTGTGTCCTATCAAGTGGTGATCTCTTCTGTTGTCTAGTCAGTGTGTCATGTCACGTGGTGATCTCTTCTGTTGTCTAGTCAGTGTGTCATGTCACGTGGTGATCTCTTCTGTTGTCTAGTCAGTGTGTCCTCTCACGTGGTGATCTCTTCTGTTGTCTAGTCAGTGTGTCATGTCACGTGGTGATCTCTTCTGTTGTCTAGTCAGTGTGTCCTATCACGTGGTGATCTCTTCTGTTGTCTAGTCAGTGTGTCATGTCACGTGGTGATCTCTTCTGTTGTCTAGTCAGTGTGTCATGTCACGTGGTGATATCTTCTGTTGTCTAGTCAGTGTGTCCTGTCACGTGGTGATATCTTCTGTTGTCTAGTCAGTGTGTCCTGTCACGTGGTGATCTCTTCTGTTGTCTAGTCAGTGTGTCCTATCACGTGGTGATCTCTTCTGTTGTCTAGTCAGTGTGTCCTATCACGTGGTTATTCCTTTTTTTCTAGTCAGTGTGTCCTGTCACATTGTGATCTCTTTTGTTGTCTAGTCATTGTGTCCTGTCACGTAGTGATCTCTTCTGTTGTCTAGTCAGTGTGTCCTGTCACGCAGTGATCTCTTCTGTTGTCTAGTCAAATGTCCTGTCACCTGGTAATGTCTTCTGTTGTCTAGTCAGTGTGTCCTGTCACGTGGTGATCTCTTATGTTGTCTAGTTAGTGTGTCCTGTCACGTGGTGATCTCTTATGTTGTCTAGTCAGTGTGTCCTGTCACGCGGCGATCTCTTCTGTTGTCTAGTCAGTGTGTCCTGTCACGTTGTGATCTCTTCTGTTGTCTAGTCAGTTTGCTCTGTCACGTGGTGATCTCTTCTGTTGTCTAGTCAGTGTGTCTTGTCACGTGATGATCTCTTCTGTTGTCTAGTCAGTGTGCCCAGTCACGTGTGATGTCTTCTGTTGTCTAGTCAGTGTGCCCTGTCACGTGGTAATCTCTGATGTTGTCTAGTCAGTGTGCCCTATCACGTGGTGATCTCTTATGTTGTCTAGTCAGTGTGTCCTGTCACGCGGTAATCTCTTTTGTTGTCTAGTCAGTGTGTCATGTCACGTGGTGATCTCTTCTGTTGTCTAGTCAGTGTGTCCTGTCGCGTGGTGATCTCTTCTGTTGTCTAGTCAGTTTGTCCTGTCACGTATGATGTCTTCTGTTGTCTAGTCAGTGTGTCCTGTCACGTGGTGATCTCTTCTGTTGTCTAGTCAGTGTGTCATGTCACGTGGTGATATCTTCTGTTGTCTAGTCAGTGTGTCCTGTCACATGGTGATCTCTTCTGTTGTCTAGTCAGTGTGTCCTGTCACATGGTGATCTCTTCTGTTGTCTAGTCAGTGTGTCATGTCACGTGGTGAACTCCTTTGTTGTGTAGTCAGTGTGTCCTGTCACATAGTGATCTCTTCTGTTGTCTAGTCAGTGTGTCCTGTCACGTTGTGATCTCTTCTGTTGTCTAGTTAGTGTGTACTGTCACGTGGTGATCTCTTCTGTTGTCTAGTCAGTGTGTCCTGTCACGTAGTGATCTCTTCTGTTGTCTAGTCAGTGTGCCCTGTCACGTAGTGATCTCTTCTGTTGTCTAGTCAGTGTGCCCTGTCACGTAGTGATCTCTTCTGTTGTCTAGTCAGTGTGTCCTTTCACTTTGTTATCTCTTCTGTTGTCTAGTCAGTGTGTCCTGTCACCTGGTGATGTCTTCTGTTGTTTAGTCAGTGTGTCCTGTCACCTGGTGATGTCTTCTATTGTCTAGTGTGTCGTGTCCTGTCACCTGGTGATGTCTTCTGTTGTCTAGTGTGTCGTGTCCTGTCACCTGGTGATGTCTTCTGTTGTCTAGTGTGTCGTGTCCTGTCACCTGGTGATGTCTTCTGTTGTCAAGTGTGTCGTGTCCTGTCACCTGGTGATGTCTTCTGTTGTCTAGTGTGTCGTGTCCTGTCACCTGGTGATGTCTTCTGTTGTCTAGTGTGTCGTGTCCTGTCACCTGGTGATGTCTTCTGTTGTCTAGTGTGTCGTGTCCTGTCACCTGGTGATGTCTTCTGTTGTCTAGTGTGTCGTGTCCTGTCACCTGGTGATGTCTACTGTTGTCTAGTGTGTCGTGTCCTGTCACCTGGTGATGTCTTCTGTTGTCTAGTGTGTCGTGTCCTGTCACCTGGTGATGTCTTCTGTTGTCTAGTCAGTGTTTCCTGACACGTGGTGATGTCTTCTGTTGTCTAGTCAGTATTTCCTGACACGTGGTGATGTCTTCTGTTGTCTAGTGTGTCATGTAGTGTAGCATTCTCTCTGTTTGTCTGTTCTTCTAAAATTTGATAAATTGTGTTCTTTTGTCGCTTTCTGCACCCAGACACAACCATGAGTTGATCAATGCAGGGATAGAAGTGTTTGTTGAATACACCGGTTACTGCTATGTTTGCTTGATGTTGACGCTAGACTCTATGTTTGCTTGATGTTGACGCTAGACTCTATGTTTGCTTGATGTCGACGCTAGACTCTATGTTTGCTTGATGATGACGCTAGACTCTATGTTTGCTTAATGTTGACGCTAGACTCTATGTTTGCTTGATGTTGACGCTAGACTCTATGTTTGCTTGATGTCGACGCTAGACTCTATGTTTGCTTGATGTCGACGCTAGACTCTATGTTTGCTTGATGTCGACGCTAGACTCTATGTTTGCTTGATGTCGACGCTAGACTCTATGTTTGCTTGATGTCGACGCTAGACTCTATGTTTGCTGGATGTTAACGCTAGACTCTATATTTGCTTGATGATGACGCTAGACTCTATGTTTGCTTGATGATGACGCTAGACTCTATGTTTGCTTGATGATGACGCTAGACTCTATGTTTGCTTGATGTCGACGCTAGACTCTATGTTTGCTTGATGTCGACGCTAGACTCTATGTTTGCTTGATGTCGACGCTAGACTCTATGTTTGCTGGATGTTGACGCTAGACTCTATATTTGCTTGATGATGACGCTAGACTCTATGTTTCTCGCCAGGAATCGCCTTGACAGTGAAACTTTTACAGACCACAGCTAAATCTGTAGCAACATCCAGGAATTTAGCAAACTGGACATTTTGACTTTGCAAGGGTTCTGCAGCAACTTGCTGGAATCTGACAAGTTTCACCTGTAACCGACAGCGTTTACAGACACTTGATAGTTGTGGGGCATTTTCCAGGAATCTGGAGACATTTGAAGGTGAAACCTAC